TACAAGAGACTTTTTGAGCTTTGAACATAAATATTTGACCGAACTCCATTATTATATAAAGACTTCAAAGACATGTTCTAACTTGCTGAATATGTCTTCAAATTACGAACGCGGTCCAAAATATTTGGGTCGAAGAAAATATTATTGTAATTATTGATTTATAAATAAAAAAAAAAGAAAAAAAATTGAGATGGGAAGAGCATGAATATAATGGCATCCGAATCAGGGTTCCACCTTATAGTGCAGCGTAAGTGGAGCCTTTTGACTTTTTATTTTCAATTTGCCCACCATCCTTTTACTATTCCATTCTCTTCAACCCCACACGCCTTAAACACGCAACCCACCCCGACTCCCCCCCATCCCCACCCGCCACACGGTTTTTCAAAGCCCAACGTATACATACATATACGTAAGTATCACATTCTTTGTCAACGCCTTCGCCCACCAAAACCACAAGCATTGAATATTAAACATATCGAAAATTAATATTAAGATCTCCAAAGTCAACTATCTCTCTCTATCAAATTCCCAGCTATGAGCTTTTAACTCTGATATAATCCTGTTTCTTTCTCTCTTTTTTTATATCTCTATCTATAGGAAATAGTTTTCTGGGTTTCTTGAGAAATGGGCAACGGAATAGCAAAGATTAAATTGTGCTTCGCCGGAGACCCTGGAGAGATTTCTCGGCGTCACGATATAGCCGTCTGCTTGACGGACACTCTTGATGAAGGCTTTGGTCATTCCTTCTGCTACATACGGCCCGACGCACCTCATAAAATCATCCAAGATGACTCTGCGACAGCGTGCATCCCATCAACTCAAACGGCGGCGTTTCGTACTATCTCCGGCGCCTCCATCTCCGCCAACGTCTCTACCCCTCTGTCGACGGATCCTTTCCGGTATGCTAGTTCGACCTCCCTTGATAAGGCCTCGGCTTTTGAAAGCTCCCAGTTTTTCTCTTCTATTCCCCTCCAGCCAATTCCCAGGAATTCAATTTCCTCCGTCAAGTCCGGCCCGATCTTGAGGAATTCGGTCCCGGGTTCTGGCCCGATAGAGCGTGGATTTATGTCTGGCCCGATCGAGCGCAGCTTCCTTTCAGGCCCGTTGGAGAACCAGTTTGATCAGTTGCAGAGGTACAGGCCCAAATCCAAGAAATGGGCTGTGATTGCCAATTTGAAAAAGGTGATATCAAAATCATTACGGGGTTTATCTAAAGAATTGAATAATAATGAACATAATAATGGAATATCTAGTGGGAGTCATAGTGGTTATAGCAGTACTATTACTAGTAATAATTTGAGTAGTCAATTGAGCTTAATTGATGATAATGATGATGTTGGAAATGAATCCTTTGGGAGTCAAAATGTGCAGTGGGCACAGGGAAAGGCCGGTGAAGATAGAGTTCATATTGTGATTTCTGAGGAACATGGATGTGTTTTTGTTGGGATTTATGATGGTTTTAGTGGACCTGATGCCACTGATTTCTTGTTAAACAATCTTTATTCCAATGTTTACAAGGAGCTTACTGGATTATTATGGTTCGACAAGTCAGAATCGTGCGAAAATACCCTCGATAGTCAGTCGTTTATGTCCAAGAGTTTGGATAGTAAGGAAAGGGTGGAGTTGGATAGAAAGTTAAGGGAGAAATTGAGTCATTTGGAGGCTGATGTGGTTCAAGGAAATACTACTATTAACCATTTAGGTGTGTTGAAAGCTCTGTCCGAAGCATTGAGGAAGACTGAGGCATCGTATTTAGAAATCGCTGATATGATGCTAATGGAGAATCCCGAATTAGCCTTAATGGGATCTTGTGTTCTGGTTATGGTGATGAAGGATGATGATGTTTACTTGATGAATGTTGGGGATAGTCGAGCAGTTTTAGCGAAAAAGGCTGAGAACGATGGGAAGATGAGGAAGGATTTAGATGAAATGCTTTATGGTGATGAATTTGAGAATATGCATAACTTGAGTTCATGTCAGCTCACAATGGATCACAGTACATCTGTTAGAGAGGTAATAAACATATTTCTTCCCTCTTATTTGAGGATGATTGTCTGGTTTTTACGTCCTCTGTTCAGTGTTCATGTACTAAATTTTCTTATATGTTTTATGTCCCAGGAAGTTAG